GCCCCGCGCCCGCCCCCGCCGCGCCCAGGCCGCGCTCGCCCGCGGAGGCGGAGGCCCGCGGCCCCGAGGGGCAGCTGCGGCGCTCCGGCTCGGGCTACGAGGGCAGCACCAGCTGGAAGGCGGCCTTGGAGGGTAAGAGCGGAGCGGCCCTCCATCCCCCGGCCTGGGGACCCGGGAAGGCGGGTCACAGTCACCTTGGCCCGTCTCCCGGAGGCGAAGGCGGGGAGCATGACTCTGGAACCGGGAGGATCGATTTCAGGGCGATGAGATGCCACACCTGGGGCTGCGGGGAGGGAGGTAACGGGACCACCGTGACTCTAGCTCTGCAGCTAACTCACTCTTTGACCTTGGGAGCAGGTTTTGTGCTCTGAGCCTCAGTTCCCTCATGAGTGAAGGGGAGCAGTTACTGTCTGGCACTCACCTATTGGGCATGTTGAGGGGGTGACTGTAGCGGTGGAGATGCTTTGGGCAAAGCCACAAAAGCTGTAGACACCAGGGAAGGTGCTGGTGCTCTGTGAGAAAGGAGTTGGGGGGGGGCACCTAGTGGTGATGGAGCCATGTAGGGAGGGGAGAGATGGAGAATATGTGGGAGGCTTTTCCTTGCAAGGTCATGGGTCCCCCCTACCCCTTCCAGTCAGAGGGGCGACCCCTGGCTGATCAAGGAGGCGGTAAGCAAAGTGGAAAATAAATGTAAAGTTCCTGAGTTCCTTGAGGAAACTTGTGTTGGCCACTGGTGGTGTGCAGTGTGGGGCATGCTAGAGTTGGGAAGAGAGGGCTGGTCCTCTGGAGGCGCCTCGGTACTCCTGACACCCCCCAGTCCAAAGGCTGAGGACCTGGGCAGCGTTACCTAGGAAAGCCCAGAGTCCGGATCACCCAACCCTTAGGAAGTGTCAGAAAAGGAGGGCTTCCTGGGATTGGTGACTTCTTAGGAGGTGTGGAGAGAAAGAAAGATGAACTAGGCTCAAGCAATGACATGTTCAGGGACCCGATGGCTAGAGCCAGCCTGTCCCTTGTGAGGAACTCAGCTTCAGGACACCAGCATGGGAGGGAGGGGTGAGAAGAGATGAGCCTGGAGAGCTCAGATGCTGAATGGTCACCAAGGCCTTGCCAGAGAGTTTGGACTTTGAAGGAGCCACCGAGAGGTGTAAAGCCCAGAATGAGAACCTTGGGTTTGCCCTTGGAATAGTGGTGGTGGCCTTGAGGGGTCAGACCAAGGCAAGGTCAGTGTGGAAGGAGGGGCAGTGGTCAGGGGAGGGACATAACCAGCACCTGCCAGGGCCGGTGCCTTGCCAAGGAGGGAGAGGTGGGGTTTGTCATGTCAGTGTTTGGCCCAAAGGCTGGTGGGCCAGGTGACGTGGACTGCCTGAGGAGGGGCTGTGCAGACTCTGGGGGGGGGAGGGGGAGAGTCAGATGCCTGGTGATTTAGGAAAAAAGGGGCAAAGATGTTGGATCTTGGAGCAGAAGAGCCCCTGCAGAGGAGCCTTAGGCTGAGAAGAGTTGAGTTGAGTAAAGGTGGACAAAGCCCTCTCTCTGACACGCATGTCCAGGTGCATTGCTGGAATTGCCTGTGACCCCCTGCCTTCCTCCTGTCCACGTTATTCCCTGAAGTTGCTCACTCCTGCTGCCTGTATTTCTTCATTCATTCATTTGTAAGATTTTGGGAGGGTCTGCCCTAATCTAACTCGAAACCCCGATGGTTTGGGCCACTTCAGGGTGGTGTGGCCTCTTTCAATGCCTCTGGCGTGTTCATCCCTGTTCCACCTCCAGCCCTGACCTTGGCCCCTTCTGTTTCTTACTCTCAACCATGGCTGGGCTGACCACCTGTGAGCGAGGCAGGACATGGCCCAGGGGCTGTCTTGGGACACAGGGTCTTGTGGCTGCTGGGGAGTCTAGCCCACTCCCTGTTAGTGCTTACCTGTGGCCCAGCCTTGTCTCACATGTCCTGGTGTGGCTCCCCGCCTGGCCTGTCTCTGCATCGCATGCCCCCTCTGGACCCGCCTCCTCCAAGGGGTCCACCCAAGATCAGCCCCACCCTTGACGCCTGTGGTCCTTGGGGGTTCAGCATCTGGGGCCTATGGACTTTTTCCACAGGTGTTTTAGGTTCTGGAATCTGAGTCCCTGTGAGGGGCCCTCCCACCTGCCAGTTCCCTGAGGGTCTCCTGGGTGTTTGCTGGCCACTGCCATCTCCTGTCAGAAGAGCGGAGCTTGTGGACCAGGACTGGTGCTCTCCAGGGTGCTGGCGTGTGGGCCCAGTGCCAGCCTTTGTACTGCTCTCTCACATCCATTCACTCTTCTTTTCCTTCCACAAACATTTATGGAGTGCCCACACTGTCCAGACACAGCTCAAGGCACTGGGAACATCCCTGCCTTTGAAAAAATCACAGGACAGGGGCTGAGGCAGCCTGCTGGGGGGCAAAGAACGTATAGATTCTGGAGTCAGGTGAACCCAAGCCAGACCCTTCTACTGCCTGGGTTTTTTAACTTGTTTGAGCCTCAGTTTCCTCATCTGCCAAGCTAGATAATCATTTCTGCCTCTCAGGGTTACACAGATCAAGGTGCTGGGGTGTGGGCTGTGTGCAGGTCTTCTCCACAGTGACCTAGACGTGGCTTCCTGCAAACCCTGATGGGGGAGCTCAGTTGAAATCCTTTGACTGCTGCCCTGCCTACCTTGAGTGCACTCCCCACCCCAAACTGGAGTTTATGTAATGATCCTAGTTCACGGACACTAAAAACACCTGTGGTGGACGAGGGGTCTGCCACGTCTGGGGATCATGGGGACCCTGCTTAGCCAAGCACCTGTCTTGAGAGAAGCAAGACATGTCCAAGCTGAATACTTAGGGGACCTGTACTCCTTTATTACCATGAGCTGAACATTTATCAAGCACCTACTATGTGCTGGAGGGTTTCACAACAGCTATCATTTAATCTTCTTATCTACCCTCGTGGGGAGTTGTTGAGTGTTATATTTAGTTTATAGAGATGGAAACTGAGACTCAGAGAAGCCAAGTGTTGTGCCCAAGGACGCATGTTGGTTGCTAACATAGGAAACCCTGTTGGGTTTGCCGCAGGGCTCTCTGACAGGAAAGCTCTTACACCGTCCCGCGCTGACCAAGGACATCGGGCTTGGTGAGGCTAATTGGAGAGATTCAAATTGTGCTGCAGATGCATGTTGTTCTCCTGCTCTTGTCCTCAGACAATCCCACCACCTCCAGCACAGACCATTTTTCCTCCTCACAGGTTAAGTGAAATGGAGAGCTCCTTAAATCATAAGGTTGGAACTAGAGCCCAGGTCTTTAAGACTTTCCCTAAATGAGCAGTTAGCTTTATAAATAGAAAGCCAGTCGGAAGTTCTCCTTGATTAAGTCTTCTCTGTTAATATCTGTGGATACTCACCTTTCCTTCCACCCCCAGCCTCGGGGGAGAGGCTGGAAAAAGTGACCCAGAGCATCTACCTGGGTTCTAGAAAGACTGGAGGTGATTTGAGATGGGGATGTTTCTGGCATTGGGGTGGGAGTGGGGAAAAGTGGCCTGGGTGCACGGCAGTGGGAGCAGAGTGAGTCTGCATCTCTCAGGCTATAGATTTTTTTTCAATGCTCACCGATTCTGAATTTTTAATGTTGAAAGTTTCTTGATTAGGCATAAACCCACGACTTCCTGATCAAAACCACACACATACATTTAGCAAAGCCTCTTAAAAATGTCAAAATTACCAAACTCTACATTGGATAATTTTGCACCATCAAGGCCGTGCTTGCCAGGCTGTGGCCCTGACAACTTAGAGGCGTCAACTGTGGGTGTGAGGGTGATGGGAGATTTGCCTGGGCTTGGGAGCCAGCTTTTTAAAAATCATTTTTTCTAACATGAGGCTAAATCATATCCATTTATAAGCATAATAAGGGCCTTGCCTAGCAGAAAGGATTGCTGAGTGAGACATTTGTGATGGCTTGCGTTGTGTTCCCCCGAAAGAGATATGTTGGAGTCCTAACCCCACAGGACCTCAGAATATGACCTTATTTGGAAATATGGTCATCGCAGCTGTAATTAGTTAAGATGGGGGCATACCAGAGCAGTGTGGGCTCCTAATCCAATATGACTGGTGTCCTTATAAGAAGACAGTCACGTGAAGACCGAGGCACCCAGGGAGAAGGCCATGTGACGGTGAAGGCAGACATGGGAGGGATGCAGTTATAAGCCAAGAAATGCCAAAGAGCACCAGCAAACTGCTAGAAGCTAAGACAAGGCAAGGAAGGACTCCCTACAGGTTTCAGAGGGAGCGTGGCCCTGCCGATCCCTTGACCGTGAACTTCTGGCCTCCAGAACCGTGAGATAAGAAATGTCTGGTGTTTGAAGCCACCTAGTTTGTGGAACTTTGTTCCCCCCACCCTCGGAAACTAGGACAGCATAGTTTCCTACGGATTGGATTGTCCAGCCCACAGCCTCCCTCTGGGAGGACACAGACAGCGAACAATGAGTCGGGCTTCCTAGAGTGTCCTCTCTCTGTCCACAGAGCAGATATCCCCATGAGAGGTGAAGAGGCTTTTCAGTCCTGGTGATGCTGGAGACGCACACACGGACCACCTTCCCCCAGAGAGCAGGTGTCTGTCCGGGTTCCCCTTCCTACAAACTCAGTTGAGTTTAAGGCTGACCAAGGACATAGCCATTCACCGTAGCTAAGTTCCCTGTGTTTTTAGTACCAGTGGGTATTCTGTAAGATGCAAGGCCATGGCTTAGCCCTCTTATAGGAAATCGAAAGGTGAGTCGAGCGCAGCTCATACCCTAAAGGAGCCTGTGGGCTCATCATCATCATTGTCACCATGGTAACTGCTAACACTGAAGTCGAGTCTTCCATGCCAGACACTGTTCTATGTACTATACAATGAATTTTCGTAAAATTCTAACAGGCAGATACTACTATTACTTCATTTTAAAGATGAGGAAAATGAAATAAAATAGAAGCTCAGTAACTAAGCCATCTGGAACGTGGCAGAGCTGGGATTTGAACCCACTATGCTCTTATCCTCCAGGCACAAAGGGTTACAGAGACAGTATTCTAGAAGAGGATTGAGAGGTGTGAACAGAAAAGAAGGGCAGGATACATACATTGCACTTGCCACAGGCAGCCGTCATGCAGCTCAAGGGGAACCCGCCTAACAGCAAATTGCCACTGAGGACAGCAGAGCAGATACAGAAAGAGCGCAGCCCTCGAGGGCAGGCAGGATCTCTGCTCTTACTGTACATGGAGCCACCCACCTCCGGATTCCTGGTCACTTGCCAGCGTTGACCTTGCTCATAGGAAGGACTCCAAAATGTTTGTTGGACTATCAGGTAAAGATGGCAGACTGAACGCATGCATTTATTCTTTTTCCCTTCCAAAGCCCACTAATACAGCAGTTAGGGGACTTTTAAAAGTCCATAAGTACCACAGGCACAGGACAGAGGACAGCAGCAACAAACTTGGGAGCTAGGCGGTAAATAATGAGTGGTAACTGACTTCACCGGCACAGGAGCCACCTGAATCACATGCAGGACCCCAAAAGCACAAGGATGGCGCCACTAGTCACCATGGCAGTGCGTGAAGATGGAGCTGATTACAGGAGGACTGGCTGAACAGTTCTTTAGGAAGAATTTAGATCCCTGGATCCTCTTCCCATTCTGTACAACTTCTTCCCATCCCTGAGGGTTAAGTCTCCTGAGAGAGGGTCTCTAGATACCAACCCATTTGAGAGCAAGCAATTAAGGCGACATTTCCACATGGAATGCCAAGGATGGCCTCCCAGCCGCTTTTCCTGGCCCAGCCTACACCTTCCAGGAGGGAAACCAGAAAAGCCTTCTCCAGGGCTGACCGACCCAAAAGGAAAAACCCAAGGAGGTCAGCATACAGGGAGCACTGAGGATCAGCCCAGCCGGATCAATCTGCTGTGACCTTCCACAGTTAAGAAACCCCTCCATGGTCTCAGAGACCACAGTGAACTCTAGGCCTCCTGCCTTAATCATGAACAAATAACCAAGGACCTCCAGACATCCGAGGAGTCTCTAACATAGAAGCTAGAGACCAAAACTAATGAACAGAAGAAAAGCAAGTTGGAGGACACAGACACCATACCAGGAGGAATAAACTTTCTGTCCCCCCGCCCCACAAAAAAACCCTATCAGTAATATCCTCAGAGAGATGAGAGAAAGGATTGCATCATTAAAATAAGAACAGAATGCTTTAAGAGGGAGTATTCAGGGAACAGCAGCAACAAAGCCAAAAAAACTTTGGAGATTAAAAATAATCTCAGAAATGAAAAATTTAGCACAAGGGCAGGGAGATAAAGTTGAAAAAACTTTTCCAGGAAATTGAGCAAAATGGCAAAGAGACAGTAGATAAGGGAGGGGGGGGGAATATAAGAAACTTGGAGGACCAATCTAAGAGGTCTAACATTTCCCAATCTTTTGTGAAGTGCAATACAAATGAAATACTAGAAATATGATCATGCATGTGGATGTCATGGCATGTTAAATTGCTATAAAAGTTTCTAGACACTTCCTCTCACTTCTGGTACTCATGTCATCATGGATGAGTACCAGTGTACAGACCAGCACTGGTCGATGGAGGTGCTACTTTCCTCTATGCTCATGCATAACTTTGCTTTTAAAAAAGACTTAAAACAAAAAGGGAGTTCTCACTACTAGGATGGTTACAATACTAATAATAATTTAAAAAAGGAAACTAAAAAGTGTTGGTGAGGTGGTAGAGAAATTAGAACTTTTGTGCATTGGCATTGCTGGTGGGATGCAAAATGGTGTAGCCAGAAAACAGCATGGTGGTTCCTCATAAAGTTAAACATAGAATAACCATATGATCCAGCAATTCCACTCCTAAGTATATGCCCCAAAGAGCTGAAAACAGGGACTCAAACAGATACTCAAATGTATGAACATGCGCCAATGTTCATAGCAGCATTATTCACGATAGCCAAAAGGTGGGAACAACCCAAGTGTCCATCAACAGGTGAATGGATATATAAAATGTATATATTCATACAATGGAGTATCATTCAGCCATAAAAAGGAATAAAATTCTGATATCTGCTCTAACATGGATGAACCTCGAAAACATTATAGCAAGTGAAATAAGTCAGACACCAAAGGACAAATATTGTGTTTCTACTTATGTGAAATACCAAGAAGAGGCAAATTTATAGAAATGCAAAGTAGATTAGAGGTTGCTGGGGACTGGAGGGAGGTGGGAATGGGGAGTTAATGCTTAATTAGAGCAGGATTTCTGCTTGAGGTGATGAAAAAGTTTTGCAAACCAACAGTGGGGATGGTTGCATAATATCGTGAATGTAATTAATGCCACTAATTGTACATTTGAAAATGGTTAAAATGGTAACTTGTATGTCATGTACATTTTACCACAATAAAAAGACCATTAAAAGACCCTATGTCTAAAGTCTAACATGATTCTTTCATTACATGTAAAATAAAAAATGTAAATGGTAACAAGGAAATGAAAAAGGAGCAGCCAGAGGATGGGGAAAGGTTTTGGAAAGAGGATGAATGGTGTAGGGGTGGGCGGGATTTAAAGAGGTAGCAGCGGAGGTCAGAACACTGGGGGCAAAAACCCAGCTGCCGGGCTGGGAGGGTGGGCTGGGTTATTTCAAGGGGTCTGTGTGGCTGAAACCAGGGACCAGGCAGAGAAGCAGCAGGAGACGAAAGAGTGGAAAGCTCTGACGGTCACAGAAGTTCAAGTGCATAGCCCTGGAGGGAGGGTTATCAAGCCAGGGAATCACAGACTCAGGACTGTGCCCTGGAACTCTTTGACCTCAGCACCTGGAGGGCTTGTTGCTGGTTTCCACCCCCAGAGTTTCTCAGTATTAGGATGTGGGCCTGGCTGTGTGGTGATGGGTGGGTGGGTGGCCAGGAATTGAACCCTTTCTCTTCTCTGCAGACACCACCACCCGTCTCCTGCTGGGAGCCATTGCTGTTCTTCTGTTCGCCATCCTGGTGGTGATGAGCATCTTGGGTGAGCATGGATGTCGGAGCATGTATGCAATTCCGTGTATATCACCTTGTCAAAAGCACGTCTAATTAGGTCAAGAAAAATTCCAGACGTACCATGAAGTCTGTGGGGGGACAAAGTAAATAGAAAACGGAGTATTAGTTCTAGAGGAGATTTTAGGCTGTAATAATCTATTCACACAACAACTCCACATGTTCCCTTTACTAAGTCATGCAGGGAAAGTGGAGATGTGACTTTGGTACTATGACGTGAATGCCACGCGAACTCAGAACCGACTTGGGGTGGGTTAGGCAGGCAATGCTTCTGCTTCTTGGAGGAGATGAGTTTGGGATAAGGGCCTTTAAAGATCACATTCATTCATTCAACAAACACTTATTGAGCCCTGAGGTGTATTAGTTAGGGCCGTGGGCTAAGTGCTAGGGATTAAAAAAAAGATGAGTATGACACGTCAGATATAGAGGTGTTACTGCTGGGGGCTTCCATGATGGGGAAACGTGTGTGCCAAACCCTGAAGAATGAATAGGGGTTCCCTAGAGACCAGGAGGTAGAGGAAAGAGAACAGCCCAAGGGGAGGGGCCTGAGCAGCCCAGAGTGGTGTGTGGGACTGAAAGGGTAGGGGAATGAAAAAGGAGGACATTGTCACTAAGGAAAGGCGAGGCTAAATGAGCAGGGAATTTGGCTGTTTCAAATGCGTTCAAGTCAAAGTATGTCATGGGTTCTGAAGGGTTTGCAAAGCGTGCCTCTATCTTTAATCTTTGGGAAGCACTGCAAGACCAGAGGCGGGCACCTCAAAATGGGTGAAAAGTCCACTGACATTATCAGTCCCTATCAAATCCTCACTTACAGGGCATGCACGATAAGATAAGCAGGGTGTTTGTCAGTGTTTAGAAAAGAATCTGGTGACCACTGGCGCCAGCTTGGGTTCACCTAGAATAATGACTGCAAATGAAATCGGTTTCCTTTTGTCTTGTTGCTGGGTTTGGAAGTCAGTGCAATGTGTAATCGCAGCATATTGAGATTTCAATAAAGCATAACAGAGTGTCCTCAGAGATCCTTGTGGAAAGGCAGTTGAAATGTGGCCATGCCATGGTCAATACTCCCAGGTGGACCTGTAGCTCACCAAGATATGCAGAGTGTCCACTAATTAATTGGTGTCAGTGTGGCTGGAGGTCCTGAGGGGCTGGAGTACTGTGGGCCTGTTTTTGGCTCTTTCCTGGTCTGTATTTAATCAATCGCTCATATGAAAATGAATAAAAAAGATGCTTATAGAATTTGTAGGTGATACAAATCCAAAAAGGGATGTTTAATATGATGGGTGAAAAAAAAAAGAAGATTAAGATGTATCTTTAAAAACTCAAATGAGCCAATGTGAGTGAGATAAATGTGAAAGAAAGAAACATAAGATCGTTCATTTGGATTTTAAAAAGTGATTTACACATGTTCGGGCTGCTGGGGAGACCTGGTTTGGAAGCAGAGCCTATGAAAATGATGGAAGAGTATGGCTAATTTCCTTTGGGCAAGGAGGCCCTTTGAGAATCTGACGGAAGCTCTGGGCTCCCTTCCCAGAAAAGTGCATGTGTGCACACCCACGGATTCTCCTCATGGAGACAGGTCTGCAGGCTGGAAAGCAGTGGTGTGGTGATCACTGTTGCTGGTGATGGGGCCGCTTCTGTCCTTCCCAGTCTGTTCTGGTGGCAGCGTTTTAGTGGCCATGGGGGCACCCTGCCATGAGCCAGGCAGGATGGAGAAGGGTCCGGAGGGTAACGCTTGCCAGGAATCCCAGAGGAGACTGTGTCTGTTTAAGCCTGGAGCAGGGGGGCTGGTGTCCTTCTAAAAGAGAGCAGTAGAAGGCAGATTGAGTTTGCCCGGGGTCACACTGTCACAGGAAGGCAGATAGGAACTCAGAATTGAAAAAGAACTTTCCAGCATGTCCACGGTGGAACGGGCTGCCGTGTTAGCTAATGAGGCTGAGGCCAATGAGAGCAGCCTGTAAATGGTTCTCACCCTGGCTTCTGAGGGAGGACCAGTGGCCTCTAGGTCCCTCCCAGATCTGAGTTTCTGGGGTTCCATGTCTTGAAGAGTTTAGAGAGAGAGAGAGCGAGTGAGAAGATCTTAACCAAGGGCTAACCTGCTGTCACATCCCCTCGTGGTGGTGTCCCGGCCAGCCTTCCAAATTCCTCTTCCTTATGCATCAGTCACCAACCTTCTGCCTGCCAGGCTCTGTGAGAGGTACTCACCTGAGAAGACGTCCACATGAGCCATGTCAATGAAGGGCATCAAAGTTGAGGCAGGTGGAGGGACCTGCAGGGAGCAGAGTTGGGTTCTTCGGGGAACAGGTGGGGCCAGGTGGGGCCAGGCAGGGCCGGGGTGGAGGGGCAGGAGTGCTGTTGGATGCGGAGCCCCCTCTCTCTCTCTCTTCCCGGTAGCTTCCAAGGGCTGTATCAAATGTGAGGCGCCCTGCCCAGAGGACTGGCTGCTCTATGGAAGGAAATGCTACTTCTTCTCTGAGGAACCGAGAGACTGGAACACGGGCAGGCAGTACTGCCACTCCCACGAAGCCGCGCTGGCTGTGATTCAGAGCCAGAAGGAGCTGGTGAGCGCCGGTGTGTGTGTGTGTGTGTGTGTGTGTGTGTGTGTGTGTGTGTGTGTGAGGTAGGCAATCTTTAGGGAGAACCCACCCCAAGGACGCCCCAAGGTTGCCCCTGTGACGTGTTTCCAGAGCATACCCAGCCACCGCACAGCCCGGCATGTGCACATTGGCCCCTCAGAGTCTGAGCAGGTCCACGAGTGGCCTTCGTTTTCACCTGCTCCTGTCAAGGACATCTGTGTCATGCCAGGCTGGTTTGCTGAGCTGCTCGACTCTGTATTGTAACGTGTAAGGATTACACATTGCAAATGCACTTGTGACATAGAAAAAACACATCGGCCTTTCCTACTAGTTCATATCAGGACATGAGCTCTCATGTAACACCCCAAAGAGTTTTACCAATAGATACGTGAAAGAAACACAATCAGAGAGTCAATTGGCCCTTTTGGATTTTGAGGGTAACAGTGGTGTGGCGATCCATGATAGCACATAACCTAAAAATCACTTGTTTGTCTCTGATACACAGTATAATATCCCCCTTCTGCAGAGGAAGCCCTGGAAGTATGCGGGTAGAAGGAGAACCAAGCTGAGCATTGAGATTTGTCCCAGATAACCCATCAAGTGGGCAAGTCAGCTTCCTGCGAACTAGGACTGCTGTCGCCCTGGGCCGCTGAGCCCGAGGGACAAACCCTATTCTAGGTTTCCTGGGCCAGTGGGTATGCTCCCAGAGCCGGGTCCCTTGGAGGCCATTGCAGGCGACTGCTGGGTAGTCAGTGTGAATGCAGGGCTCTCTGTAACCCCAGCACCTCACTTTGGGGGTACAGTGAGGCACCCTCCTCTCGGCATCTGTCCATCTTGGCAGTCAATTTTCAAGCTGAGGTTAGTCTTGGGAAGTGTGAGCATTTAGGAGGTTGCACCTGACTCTGAGCTCTCCCTCTTTCCTTGGTGCAGGAATTTATGTTCAAGTTCACGCGGAGGGAACCCTGGATTGGCCTGCGCAGAGTGGGGGATGAATTCCACTGGGTCAACGGGGACCCGTTTGACCCGGACACGTGAGCTGAGGCTTCATTTTCTGGCCACTGAGCTTAGACTGGGCAGCACCCAGCCCCCCTGGACACCTCCCAAGGGAGAATCACTTGGTTTTGTGCTAAGTAGAACTACAGCCCCTAGGTTCAGCGGTGTGGGACAGAGACCCATTTACGACAATGCTTTACTTCTCTCTCTCACCCATGACGTCCAGGCTGGTTGGGGGCTCTGCCCCATGAAGTAGTCATCAGAGCTTCCTGCCGCCAGGGTCCAGGCTCTTTTCGTCTTGTGTCTTCCCCCTCCATGCAGTGGCCTGTCTGCATGGCTGCATGTGGCTCAGCCACGGGGGGAAACAGGAAAAGGAGCCTGTGCCTTGGACGCCCCTCTGCATTGGCCAGAACTTAGCCACATGACTACACCTGGCTGCAAGGGAAGGTGGGAGGTGGGGCCTCTATTCTGGGCAGCCATGTGCCACCTAAACACTGCTACTGTGGAAGAAAGGGGATCCGAGCATCCTCTTAGAGAAAACAGCTCTGAGGGGGCTGGGTATGTGCTGTGGTGGTGCCATTCGTGGCCCAAGTGGCGTGGAAGTGAGCACGCGATGGGGTGGCAGGTGTGTGATGCCGAGGACTGGTTTGTGGTGTGGGTGATGGTGGCAGTTGTCATGGGTGGTAGGGGTGTATGGCTGTGACAGTAGAGGTGGTGATACTGTGTGTGTGTGTGTGGGGGGGGGCAGTCTAGGTTAGGGAAATGCAGGGATTAAGGGAATAGAAGCCTCAGCTTTCAGTCCAGACCCTGCAGCTGGAGGAATAGGCCACGAGGAGCCAGGTGGGGGCACAGCTGCTAACCTGATGATGACACGTGAGTGTCCTCCCTAAGGTCCCCAAGACCCCAGCCCTCCACCATGGCCAGAAGCTGGTGATCAGTTGCCTTCCCATCCTGGGCTGACTTAGGGCAAGTGGCCCCACTGACACCTCCTTCCACCTCCTTTCCCTGTCTCCTGCACGCTTCATTTTTCCACCTCTCTCATTGCCTCTCCTCTTTCTCTTTCCTGCCCAGATCTGTTCTTAACACTGCTGAGGAAGTCTTGCACTTTCTGCCTCCTTTTGTCCCCTTCTGGAAGCTTCCTGCTCCCAGAACCAGGGAGCGCCCTGGAGGCTGGGGTCTGCACAGTGCTGACCACCTGGCAACCAAGGGCCTTGGGGCCACGTTTCCCTGACACTGAGAGGTCCTGCCCCCCACAGACTCCCTCTTGGGGTCATTCTGATGTCACCTCTAGCGAGGCCCCAGCTCCGGCCTTGGCAGGGTGCTCAGATCAGGGTGAACAAATGAGGTTAAGAAGAAACCTTGGGACATGAAAGGGATGATTTTAGGCAGGGACTCACCCCCAGGTCCACAAATGATGTCAGTGATTTCCTGGGCAACACAGCCCCTGGTGTTAAACATTGGGGTTGTTTGGGTCCACTCCTAGCCTGTCAGGGAATTTAATTCTCATCTCTACTGAGCTCTTCCTGTGCTAGGCAGACACTGTGCCATAGGGGAGCCCACTGTTCAGGAGCTGACCGTCTGGGGGCTGGTGGGGACAGACAGACACAGGCCCCTGGGAGGCTGTGATGTGGTGCCCCGCGGTGCAGACAGGGTGCTGCGGCGAGGCAGGGTGGGCAGAGGGTGATCCTCCATGACTCCTGGCTCATGGGATGAGTGAGACGACCCTGCGAGGATGTAGAAGCAGACGAGGAAGTGCACAGTGTGCCCAGGAAACGTCTGTGGGGCATCCGCAGAGTGGCTGGGGCCGTGGTACTCTGAGTAGGGAGACAATGGGTGTCCCCACTAGAAAGGTCTTGGGGCTAAATGTCCTGGACGGTGACTCCAGAGAGAGGGGCAGACACCACAGGGCCCCCCGGGGCCACCCAGGGATGGATGGGCTGTATGTCGCGGGTCGTGAGCACCTGGTCTCTTGTTTCCCACCCACAGATTCCCCGTCGCGGGCCCGGGGGAGTGTGTCTTCGTGGAGCCCACCAGGCTGGTGTCGACGGAGTGTCTGATGACCCGGCCCTGGGTGTGCAGCAAGATGGCCTACACATGAGGTGGGTCAGGCCCCCCAGCCAGGCCAGACCTGCCTGCCCCAGACTCCTCTCCAAGACGAAGCAGTGAGGAGGGTGACCTCCATCCCGGGCCCCCTCCAAGGCCCATGTGCCTGGGTTCCTGGTCTCCTCGGCCCCGGGCAGGTGCTGTGGCTCAGCAGATGAATGCCACATGCTCAGTGGTGTAGGCACCTGGCCCCCCAACACACACACGTACACGCAAGCACACCGTCCCCTGGTACTGACACAGATTGCATTACTGTCCACACGCACAGCACCTCACCTGCAGCCTCCAAGTCATTTATCTCCTGGTTGCTGGGGAGACAGGGAGGGAAGGCTTCCTCTCACCTGGGTCCCCCTTCCAGTCCCCCTTGGTTTGCCTGGGGACGAAGCGGGGGCTGGCGGTTCCCCTGGGCCTGGGGAGGCTCTGAGTGCCCCCTCCTTCAACACACACACACTTGGAGCCCCAGAGCAAGCTGCAGGGGGCCCAGGCCTCCCCAACCTCTTCTTGGTGCCGCTGACCTGGTGAGATGTAGGCGGCCTTCCTGGGAGCTGCCTGCGCGAATTTGGGTCCTGGCCCATTTTCAGAAAATAGCACAGAGGGAAACCAGGTCCAGCTGTGCTCTGCTCGGATCTTTCATTGTCGGATTCCAGACAAAACCATCAACTTGGTTTTGTTGACCTTTTTGCATGCTTTCCAGATTTTTAAAAACTTTGTGGTTCCGTATTTTGTCTTTATTGGGAAGCCAGTGGGGAACCTGGGTGGACAATGAAGTTAAGGAAACTCAGTGTGGTGGTGGTGGGCCTGTGGGGGTGGCAGGAAGCCCACCACCCTCCCAGCACCTGCCGGCTGTGTATTGAGGGGCTGGGGGTTGAGGAAGTGGTCAGCTGCTGCTGCTGCTGCTTGGGGGAGGGGGTGGGGGGCCCTTTCACGCACCCCTGTTCTGACACAGGCCCCTGGCTCTCACAATATACCCCCCCTCCCCGCCGCAAAAAAAAAAAAAAAAAAAATAGCTGTCCACATAAAATACAATAGATGTCCACATAAAAAGACATCCTAGCCATTCTTGCTTCATGAAAAAAAAAAAAAAAAAAAGCAGGCTCAGACGCCTTAACACCTTATCTAAGGTGCCACCTCATTTAATTCTAACAGAAGTGCCCCGAGGCAGGTAATGCTCCACAGGGGACAAAACTATGCCGTGGCAGGGTCCCAAGGCCAGGAGAAGCTACTGACCTGTGCTCTTGTCTTGCTCTGGGGGCTCTGAGGGGAGAGAGCCGCTGGGAAGGAAGCCATGTGCAAGGACAGGGCCCCGTGAGTCCGTGCCATTCAGGGTGTATTTCTCATTCAGTTTTCCAAAGCGTGTTGCTTGAAGCTTTCGAGGCACATTGGCAAGTAAGCTCTCCCTCCTAACCTTGGGTTTGTCCTGGGAACCACACGACAATTCTAATCAGTTTAGAACAGCTTAGAGCAGCGGTTCTCAACCTTTCACAGGGGTCGCCTAAGACAATCGGAAAACAAAAAGATATTTACATGACGATTCATCACAGTAGCAAAATTACAGTTCTAGAGTAGCAACGAAAATGATTTTATGGTTGGGGGTCACCACAACATGAGGAACTGTATTAAGGGGTCGCGGCATTAGGAGAACCACTGGCTTAGAGGAACCCTGACTCCGGGTCACCAATGTTTTAAGAGTTTTCTCATCTGGTGCTTACCAAGGCAAAAAGCTCAAAACAAAACCAAAACGCTGGCATGCCAATCTTCAGAAATACAGAAAATGCTTCCCAAGGTTATAAACCAGCCAAGCGTCCCCACCCTCCCCACACTTGCTCCCCACACTGTTGGAGGTGTTTGCGGGGCTGTGGAGCCCGGTGCTATGCTCTCCGGTGGCCACACGGGGGAAGCACTGAGTACTTTTAGCTCGGAGCGCATTAGAACTGAAGCCGCAGCCGGGTCCTCGGTGTAACCCCTGCAGCAGGCAGGGTGTCTTTGGAAGGCTGGAGCACGCACACCCGGCCACCCTCAGATGTCTTTTGTGAAGATGGAGGGTGACAGGGAGGGCTTTTTCAGGAGGACTCACTGGGGTGGTAGGTGCTAGTGGGTTAATTAGTGTTTGCTTAATCTCTCACAGCCCTGCAAGGGCCGCATCACCCGCTCGCTTGTTCTTTTCTCCAAAGGATTTTATTTTACTTTTTATTACATTTATTGGGGTGACAGTGGTTAGTGAAATTACATAGGTTTCAAATTACATAGGTTACATTTCTATATGATCTATAGATCGCGTTATGTACTCACCACCCAGTCAGTTCTTCTTCCATCACCATATATTTCTCACCTGTTTGTTTTCACAGATGAGGAAACAGGCTCAGAGAGGTGAAGGGACTTGCTCCATATTACACAGCTAGGAGGAGGTGGAGGCAGTATTTGAACGCCGACCCGAACCCACAGGGCTTTTGGGAAGCCGCTATGTGGCCCCTGTGGCCCCCACCCAGCCATCCAGATCTAAGGCCAGCTCCTCGGAGGGGGTCTGTGGGTGCTGGTGATGGAGAAGGGGCCACCCTGGGAAGGGTGTCCACATGCCTGCAGGCGATTCCTTTTCTGGACACTTTTATCTTCTTCATTTGATTTTCATATGAATTATCCTGAGAGAGTGGGCAATGCAAATAATAATGTCTTTCCCTCCAGGGCCCAGCTAGAGCCTCCCTGGGACACCATCCAGGACAGCGGCAGCCCTCAGTGACACTCCCTCTCCCCAGCACCTCCAGCACTTAAGACTGAGCCTCTCACATGGTCCATCTGTCGCCTTGCCATCTACCACTCGTCTCTTCATGTCATCAGACTGCTCCTGTCATCGGATTATAAACCCCTGGAGAGCAAGGACTGTGTGTTGTTGGCCTCTTTGTGACACACCTAGCATGCGTTCAGACTGTGGTACTTGACCATAAGATTGCCCACAGCGTCATTAACTGTTTGCCACGGTGGGAGACAGCAGTGGCTGCCACAGTCAGAAAATTTGTCTTTTTGGCTTCGGTGGGCATGGCATAATTTTAGAGGCACAGCAAAGATGAACTCTATAATTGGTTTTGCTTCAATGAAATGAGCTCACAACATTCCCTAAAGCATGCACATACATCCTGGGTGGCTCAGTCGGGGTGGTCTGGAAATACAGGGTTGGGTGTGTGTGTGTGTGTGTGTGTGTGTGTGTGTATGTGTGTGTGTGTGAGGAAGGGCAGTCTAGGCCTCCAAAATGTCCTTTGCATCAATACACAGAGCCCAGTGGGTGAGGAGACGGCTGTGAGTGGAAGCCAGGCTCAGGGAGGGTTGCCAGGCTCTGCGCTGGCTGCTGAAGGTTCCTGTGATCCCCAGGATATCATGCTAATATCACTGTGCAGTTCCACAAAAGACAAGACCTGGTTTTCAAAAATGCCCACTGTCTGCTGAGTGCTTACAGCAGGAGGGATGGAGGTGGGGAGGTAACTGCCTCTTTCTTCTTCTTGGTCTGTAGCCAGCTCTAAACTGGGAGTGAGTGTGGGATTCAAACTGGGGGCATCCAGGAAGCCTCTTGCCGTGCCCACCTCTCTGCCAAAGCAGACTGGAGTTGACACACACTAGGCCTGGCTCCGAAGACTAGTAGGGAGTTAGCTCTATCAACAAGCGGTTGTGTAGCGCAGGCCATTGTGCTAAAGCTCTCTGGCCCCAGGCGTCACCTCTATAAAGTAGAACTCATGCCTGCCCTGCTTACCTCACAGGGTTTGGAGAACAGTAGACGTTAGAATTTCAGGGGTTAGAAATGATCGACCCCATTCTCACTATCCATGGGGCCCAAAGAGGTTAAGTAACACAGGTTAAGTCCAAGGTCACACAGCTCGTGCCAGAACTAGTCAGGTCTTATGGCTCTCCTCTCCTGTTTATACTCTTATTATTGCACGGATCATGCTTTGTTAATTTGTTTACTTGTTTGCCGTCCATAAAGAGATGTAAGCTCCTAGAGGGTAGGGATTCACGCTCACTTTTTTGTTTCTCTAGCGCCTGGTACATACAAAAGGTGCTCAATAAATGTGTGTTGAACTAAATTGATCTTGACTCCTACTTCAAGTGCGCTTTCCTCTATACCAGGGGTCGGCAAACTTTTGAGACGGAAGAGCCGCCAGGGGTCAGCAAACTGCGGCTTATGAACTGGGGCTCTGAAGTAAAATTGAAAAGGAAAATAAAACTATCATAGTTTCACTTTATGGAATCTTTACAGGATATTATTCACATAATGGTGATTATGTAAAAATATATTCATGGCTCTCGAATATGGCTCTCGAATAATTTTTAAATTGTGAGGAACAGGATTGGCTCTTCCAGGGTCAGCAAGCTTTTGAAACAGAACGTACCCAAAGAGCCACCTGTGGCTCGTGAGCCGCAGTTTGCCAACCCTATTGTATACCACTCTGTCTCTAATCCCAGAAATCTGCACTTCCAGTTCAGCTGGAAGTTGTTTCTCTAAAACAACTTTCAGATGTTTTAGAGAAAAAGATAAGCAAAGATGGCCACCCACCCTGCGACATCCATGAGTGTCCTGTAATCTAAAGCACAGGATCCATTTGAGCAAATACAGACACATCTAAGACAAAACAGGAATAACAATAACAATGAACACTAATTGAGAGCTTATCAGGGCCAGGCACTGTGCTAAGTATTTCTCACAAAAAGTGCTTACTCAGCTTGGCCCATATTTAAGTGCTTAATAAAAATGTACCTTCTCAGAGGCTTTATTACTCACACGTGCACTGCTTCAGACAACGCTCAAGGAAACCTGTCCGCCACACCTTGACTTAGGGTCCCAGGATGCTTCGGTCCTATGAAACCTCCAACTTGACCAATCACGGCTGGGGGGAGGGCAAACATGGAGAAATGTGCCCTGGTTCTTACACGCTTCCACCTGGAAAGGACTCGTGTCACCTTTCCTTGGTTAAAGCAAGTCACTGGACACCTAACTTCAGAGGGACCAGGAAATACAATCCTTCCAAGTGCGGCAAGGAAAGCAAAAAATCTTGGTGTATGGCAGGACTCTCTACCACACCCCCTGGGACATGTCCTGTGTTCCTACATTACACTTAAAGAAGATAATAGGATAGGTTAACGTATAATAAACAACCCTGAAATTTAAGTGGCTTAAATATAATAGAAAGACTTATTTCTTACTCTTTTGTGGTTTTGTCCAGTGTGGTTTTTTTGGAGAGCAGGAAGTCGTCCAGTGACCTGGGCTTCTGCCATCTGGTGGCCCCACCATTCTCCAGGCCCTCAGAGTCCTTCATCGGTTCTTCCATGTCTGGCCAGAAATTGAGGGAAGAGTGTGAATAAATGTGTGAGTTTTTTTTTAGGGGTCAGCTCTGGCCATATTCATCTGCAAAGAAAACCAGGAAATACTTGGGCCGGCCGAGCGGCGCGATGGTTAAGAGCTGGCTTGGGACGCCAGAGGGCCCCGGTTTGGATCCGACATATGAGGGCCAGTGACACTGCTCTCCACAGCTAAGATGCTGAACAACAGCTCAACCTGGAGCTGGGCTGTTGTGAGTCACCGGCGACAGCGTAGGCTGCAGCCCCTGTGGCAGTGGGTTGCCATGGGCTACCGTGTGTAGCCAGCAGCCAGCGTGAGCGGCCAGCAGCCGCCGTGAGCGGCCATCCAGAAGCCGGCGACTGATCTGCCTCGCCCGGGAAGAGCGCAATGATGGTTCCAACTTGGGCCAGTGAAGCAACGTCCTCCACAACTAGACTGAAGAACAAAACGACAGCAACTTGTCTGTTCCCCTTCCCCCAATTCCCCAGCACTGTTCCCATCCCCCCAATTCCCCAATAAAAATCTTAAAACAAACAAACAAAAAACACCAGGAAATACAATCTAGCTATGTGCTAGAGGAAGTGGCTTTGAGGAATATCCAGCCAGTCTTTGCCATAGGTAGTATTATCCCCATTCTCCTGCTAAGAAAACTGAGGCTTGAGAGGTTAAGTGATTTCCCAGCTTTAATAGTCATAAACAACAGAGCCTGGACTTGAACCTGAATATGGCTGACTCCCAAGCCATGCTGGGAATTACCCCGCCACCAATACTGCCTCCTCCCCTAATGCCTCCTTGGCCTGTGCCTGTGCCGGTCTGTCCCCACGGGACTTCCTCCCAGCAGCCCCTTTTCCCTGCTGGCTCTGGCCTTTTATCTATCAATGGGTAATTTGTTCTCCTCGGAGCAGCAGGCATTAGTCTGCAATGGATAAGAATTCTGAGAGCCAGGGCAATAAAATATCAGAAGGCATTTAAACAGCACATAAAAAGACAAAAGTAGTTGCCATTTGTAGATGGTTTCTTACAAGAGTACCTTAATCCAGGGTTGCTTTTGAAGCGCTGTTAAATAAATGCACAGTGTCTCCTAGAAGGGACCACACGCCTCCTGTAGGTCAGCACGTGTAATAAACACTGAACAACTGGGAGGAGATGGTCTCACCACACGGAGGACTGTCCAGCTCTTAGCTCTGTTTCTTCCCTGTTGAGTGAGGGTTAGGGCTGTTGCCGGACGCTGGTTTTTTTCCATCGTCAAGCAGTGCCAGGCAGTGTACACAGGAAGCTGCGGAGAAAATACATCTCCGAAGAGGAAGTTTGCAGGGTCCAAGTGTGAGGCGGGGGCGGGAGGGTCCAAGGCGTCTTCTTTAAAGCTGAGTATCGGCCGAAGGGAGGGACTGACTGAGCACCCTCAGTGGTCACGAGGACACCCACTCTATCGGCATTATAGCTACCTGTTGCTCTTAGCTGCCTTTGGCTTTTATATTTATTTAATATTTGCTTAAGCGTCGCGATTCTAAGGAAGAGTTAGAAAACATGAAACTCAGACTCTCGCAAAAATTGTACACCTGACTGTTTGGAAAAGGCTCCCGGGCATGACCTCCACCCAGTCACGTGCCTCCAAAGCCAGGGGGGCATGTTGATACCGGAGGATGGACTTCAGAAGCCAAAGTCCCGAGCTGGCCTCTGGGTGACAGCGCCATCTAGTGGTTGACTTGGTCCTTCTCCCGCGGCTCCTTGGCTCAGGTGGGAAGTAGTACTTGTTGTGGGGTCTAGAATTCCACTTCCCGTTCATCATCAGTTTGAGCGAGCCACTAAGACAATTTAAGATTAGTTATGACCCCAGTATTGCGTATACTTGAGGGAACATATTGTCAGGAAAATGTTCTTTCCACTTTAGATTTAAATAACTTTCCAGAGACACAGGTGGTGAGATCCTTATACACAGCTGCACTGCGTTTCTATTGACGCACTCTTATCCCACAGGTGTATAGAGTCTGCTTTTCTCTCTATTTCCACAGGTTGTGACCCCCAGCAGTGCATTACTAATTAAAAAAGAAAAGTACGGTAGAAGAGTTTTGTCCCAATCTTTGGCATGGGTTTTTAGTAACTTGAATTTTGGCTGAGTTGAATTTAACCCAGGTTCAAGAGTTGCCTGCCCTTAGGGCTTTATTGGTATTATTACCTGAATTCTGGGAGACACAGAATTTGGAGTGGAAAGGCGGGTTGATTAGGCAATGAAAATGGGCCAAGCACATATCCAAGTATTTGCTGACCACCCATTCTGTGCCTGGCATTGTAACAGATGCCCCTAGAAACAGAGATGAGAGATAAATCCTTACCGGTGGGGATTCTGTAGTTTTGTGGGGAAGGAAAAATCGGGGAAAACAACATTGAGAGCGTGGCATAATGAGAATTACGGCACAATGGGTTGGGAACCTGGACGGGACACGTACCTCATCAGGAGCGTGAGGGCAAGCCTCCCAGGGATGGCTCAGACTGGCTCTTGAAGGGCACAGGTGTGAGAAAGCACGGAGGTCCAAAACGGGGTGGGAGGCTTGACAAGAAAGAGCTCTGGAGAGTGAAGAAGGGACGAGGTAGGCGCAGGGCCCTTCTTCCTCTGAGGCTGAAGCGAGAGACACGTGAGGCACACAGGTGTTTGGAAGGGGGCGGGATTGAGGGAGCTCTGTATTGGCCTGGGTTTCTCTGGGTCACGCTGGGGAGTAGAGGGTCGGATGAGAGTGGTGAGATTTCCAGTTAGCCACAAGAGGGAGCTGATGAGCACGGAAAGCAGGACCTTGTCCAAGGTCTTCTTCAGCAGCTGTGGGAGCTTGGGCCTAGCTAGGAGCAGAGCTGTAGGTGATTGAATCCATCTAGAGTAGGTGAGTGTGGCAGGGAGCTGAGGGTACAGGTGAGAAGGTGGATGAGGTTTAGGCTTGTTGGGAAGCCTGTGAGACCAGGAGGCACAGAAGATGGAGGGTCGGGAGGTTGGTGGTCCTGAGGCCCAAGAATACTGTCAGTGGAAGCTATGGTAAGATGGCCACGTGAGGAAATTGGGACCCTTGTGCGTTGCTGGTGAAAATGTCAAATGGTGCAGCCATTGGGGAAAAGTTTGGCAGTTCCTCAAAAAGTTAAGAATTACCATGTAATCCAGCAACCCAAAAGAATGGAAAGCAGGGACTCAGGTGCTCGCATACCAGTGTAGCATTACTCACAAAAGCCAAAAGCTGGAAACAACTCACCCATCAACAGATGAACGGATAAACAAAATATGATACATACATATTAGTTTGGTGCAAAAGTAATCGCAGCTTTTGCATTGTTGAAATTTGCCTTTGATCTTGGAATACATTCTTAAACAAATGTGGTTATGGTATACATCATTTTAATGTGCATTTCCTGCTGTATGTTTTTTTGCTAATGACTTATTACTTTCTGTTTATTTTATATGTAGTTTAGACTATGGAAATGATTTTAGACAAAAAGCAAACTCGTGCGATTTTTTAATTTGAGTTCAAAATGGGTTGTAAAGCAGCGAGACAACTCGCAACATCAACAATGCATTTGGCCCAGGAACTGCTAATGAACGTACAGTGCAGTGGTGGTTAAAGAAGTTTTGCAAAGGAGACGAGAGCCTCGAAGATGAGGAGCTTGGTGGCTGGCCATTGGAAGTTGAATGACCAATTGAGAGCAATCATCGAAGCTGATCCTCTTACAACAACTACACGAGAAGTTGCCAAAGAATTCAATGTCGACCATTCTACGGTCGTTTGGCATTTGAAGCAAATTGGAAAGGTGAAAAAGCTAGATAAGTGGGTGCCTCTTGAGCTGACTGCAAATCAAAAAAATCGTTTCGAAGTGTTGTCTTCTCTTATTCTAGGCAACAACAACGAATCATTTCTTGATTGGATTGTGACATGTGACAAAAAGTGGATTTTATATGACAACTAGCGATGACCAGCTCAGTGGTTGGACCTAGAAGAAGCCCCAAAGCACTTTCCAAAGCCAAACTTGCACAAAAAAAGGTTGTGGTCACTGCTTGGTGGTCTGCTGTTGGTCTGATCCACTACAGTTTTCTGAATCCCAGTGAAACCATTACATCTGAGAAGTAGGCTCAGCAAATTGATGAGATGCACCGAAAACTGCAACACCTGCAGCCGGCATTGGTCAACAGAAAGGGCCCAATTCTTCTCCATGACAACGACCGACCGCACGTCGCACAACCAATGCTTCAAAAGTTGAACAAACGGGGCTACGAAGTTTTGCTTTATCCATCATATTCACCTGACCTCTTGCCAATCAAGTACCACTTCTTCAAGTATGTCGACAACTTTTTGCAGGGAAAACACTTCCACAACCAGCAGGATGCAGAAAATGCTTTCCAAGAGTTCGTTGAATCCCAAAGGATGGATTTTTATGCTACAGGAATAAACAAACTTTTTTTCTCATTGGCAAAAATGTGTTGATTGTAATGGTTCCTATTTTGATTAATAAAGATGTGTTCGAGCCTAGTTATAATGATTTAAAATTCAGTCCGAAACCACAATTACTTCTGCACCAACCTAATACATACAATGGAATGTTATTCAGTCTTAAAATGGGAGGAAATCCTGATACATGCTATAACATAGATGAAACTTGAAAACATTAAGTGAAATAAGCCATAAAAGGGGGCAAATATTGTATGAGTCCACTCACATGAGTTAGCTAGAATAGGCAAATTCAGAGACAGAAGGTAGAAGGGCGTTTGCCAAGGGCTGGGAATGGGGATTGCTTAATGGGCACAGAGCTTCTGTTTGGGATGATGAAAGTCCTAGAAATAGCAAGTGGTGATGGTTGCACAATACTGTGAATGTACTAACACCACTAACTGTCCACTTTAACATAGTACATTTTATGTTATGTACATGTTACCATAAGAAAATGCTGGAAGCCGCAGTAAGAAGAGGATGTGGAGTTTCTTATGCTTCCTGAGGTGGCAGGGCTGTGGTGTGAGGGCCAGGAAGGGATTGTGGAGCTCACAGCTCAAGTGGGAAGTCCCAGGGAGGGCCCCGGTGATGACGTCGACCAGCGAGGGGCCGCCTGACCTGAAGTCTGCTGAGGGCAGGGCCTGGATGCCAAGGAAGGCCCCACACTGCACCCACATTTGGGATGAACGTTGGAAAGCTCTTAGGACAGGTGACAGCGATGACGCAGGCCTCAGGGCCGGGGTTAGGAAGCAGACGGGGCTGAAATGGCTCAGAAGAGGCAAAGGGAGACTGTCCGCTGCCCAGCTGCACAGGGGTTGGTAGTGGAATATCTCTAGGCCCTTTTTCTACGGCTACACATGGCCACCTTGGCAAATTCTAAATGCAGCAGTGGGTTCTGAACATGTTCGGACATAGTAAATAACTTCCAAAGGGCTAATGAACTTCCGAAAGATGTCACGGGCAACAATGACCTCTTTCGTCTTATGACTAGTCTGGTTCTAGAATAAATAAGGGTGCCAGGCCAAGTACAGTGACTCCAAACAGTTTAATGTAATTCCAAGACAAAGTGTGATTACATTTCTACACATATACAATATGCATATGTGAGTTTACAAATTTTAATTAATAACTCGTTTCACCTCAGAGACCGAAAAAATGATCAAAAAGAAACTGTGAGTAACAAGCTATAACATAGTTCACCACAACCGGACCCCCCCCCCTTTCTCACCCTACAGTTAGTAATATTACAATTAAAATAACTATATTCTTCTATAATTTTTTTCTGTTAAAATCATCTCATAAATTTACAATGCTATTATTAGTTTCCAAGACTAATATAAATTCACTCCATTTTTCTACAACGAAAATGATTATTAATTTAGAAGCACACGACGTCATGATGAAAAACACAAGCATTTTAGTAGCAAGGACTTGATCAGTTAAGAATTATTTTTCTTGTAAAACATTCTAAAGCCAAGTAAAATATCCATTCTTATAACATACCTATAATATGAGACTAAGGGGTAGGTTACATAGAAGTCTACGACACATTGGTTTGTCTTTAAAAAAAAAAGTAGACATTTATAAATAAAAAAAGAAAAGAGGGACAATTCACATAGGAAAAAGAGGTACACGAGAAAATACTGTTGCACGCAATAATTTTCACAAAGATTAACGTGGATTAACACTTTTTATTACAGAAACCGTACAGTGAAGGAACACAACAGACCAGGGCTTTCACAGGGTTATTGAGCTGAGATGACCTGGTAGAAAGATCTAGACGAGATGACCTTGGGGAGGGAGCCGCGTCCCTTGGACTGGTGACTGAGCATCACCACTCCTCTTCCCTGTTCTCATTCTGGGGAGTGAGTCTTTCTATCCAGAGTGTACTGAATTCATGGGCAGTTGAAAGGTAAACATTTCTACAGGTCCATTCCTTTTCCATCCTAATGGATACCATTTTTGGAAACGTGATATAATATCAGAGGCGGCAGCTCAATACATGTGGTCAAAGCAAAACAGGAATGGAAAATTCCAGTCATTCTGATTTGTTGCCTCCCTCCCTCATCTATGCCCTTGATGTTGGGGACCCAGAGAGAGCAGCGACACCTTTCAGGGCCACCTGCCTGCGCTGTGGTGAGGTGGGTGACAAGGGCGCACGGTGCCCTGCCTCAGGCCCAGGTATGGAAGGTGCGGCCTGGGCTGTCCCCGGCTCGTCTGCTGCGCCAACGCTGACTCCGACTTACCTCCTCATCCGTAAAGCTATACTTCTCCTATCCGAAATTTGGTTTGATATATATATACACAAACATATATATCAACATCTATATCTATACAGTGATTCTACTAAACTAGAAATTCTGCTGCCCCGAAGTGTGACTTCCTGGTCTACTTCATTTGGTTAAAAAGATGCACACAAAGAGGATGAGGACATGCTTTGGGGGCCAGAAATGATTGTGCCCTGGAAAAGCCACGGGAGAAAGTTTAAATGAGCAGTAACACAAGTGAGGAGAGTGATGGGGGCGGGG